GGGGATACATTTTTTTATTTATTTTTAAAACAATTTTATTTTACCTATCAATCCCAGTTCCATCTCCCTCCCATCCTCCCACTCCTCACACCTTCTTCCCACCACCCCCTGCCCCCCATCCACTCCTCAGAGAAGGTGAGGCTTCCCATGGGCAATCAACAAAGTCTGTCCCGTCACTTGAGGCTGGACCAAGGTCCTCCCCCGTGTATCTAGGCTGAGCAAGGTATCCCTCCATAGGGAATGGGCTCCAAAGAGCCAGGTCATGCACTAGTGACAAATACTGGTTCGACTGCTAGTAGCCTCACAAATTGCCCAGGACACACAACCCACGTTCAGAGGGCTTAGTTCAGTCTTATGCTGATTCCCCAGCTGACAGTCCGGGGTCAGTGAGCTCCCACTAGCTTGGATCAGCTGTTTCTGTGGGAATCACCATCATGGTGTTGGTCCCTTTGCTCATAATACTGCTCCTTCCTTTCAATGATTGAACTCCAGGAGTTTGGCCTAGTGCTTAGCTGTGGATCTCTACATCTGCTTCCATCAGACACTGGATGAAGGTTCTATGATGACAGTTAAGGTAGTCATCAATCTGATGTTAGGTACTCTCTTCACTATTGCTTAGATTCTTAGCTGGGGTCCTCCCTGTGGTTTCCTGAGAGTTTCCCTAGTGCCTGGTTTCTCATTAACCCCACAATGGCTCCTTCTTTCAAGGAGCCCTCTATGTCCTTTACCTAACTGGATCTTCACCAAACTCCTCAAGCTAAACAATAATTTTTAAAGTGACAAAAATACTGAGGGACACATCAGTCATCCCAGGCAGGCAGATGGAGAGTTCAGGACCAGCCTGGGCTATTCAGAGATGGCCTGGCACAAAAAAAAAAAAAAAAGAAAGAAAGAAAGAAAGAAAGGAAAACCAAAACCAAGGAGAAGAAAAGAAGACATGAAAGCAAATGCAGCCAATCTCGATGTGATCTTCTAATATCCTATCATAATCCACCTATTACATAAATATAAACATTACAGTCTGGACTTACATTAGTAAGAATATAAGCCAAATAATGCTTTTTTTCATATGAATGACTGTTAACTGAATCCAGGGGAAAATATTGGATTTAAAAACATTCTAAGAAGGTAATTTATTAGCATATTAGAAACCTGATAATGCTTTATAGTTCAATGAAGTTTTTATGTTCACTAAGAAAGGACTTTTAGAAGCATCATGTTAGAAACATCAGATGGAAGATGTCTTTGCTACTACATTGGGATCTCCAATGGCTAACAGGTCCCAGGTAGAATTTTCTTTTGTGAAAAATACGGCTGCCTATTTTAGTGGTCTCCTTCAAATAAACACATATCACTGTGATGGGAAAAGACACATCAGCATTCAGAGGCTGAATCACTTTTTCTTCCAAGCTATTCATGGTCAAGACCAAAAAATAAAATTGCTTTTCTAATTCTCCATTTTAAAAAATGACCAAATGAGGAGCAGAAGGAGAGAGAACATGAACAAGGAAGTCAGGATCAGAGGGAACCTTCATCTGACGATGGATGGAGATTGAGACAGAGACCCACATTGGAGCACTGAACTGAGCCCCCAAGGTCCAAATGAGGAGCAGAAGAAGGAACTACATGAACAAGGAAATCAAGACCCTGAGGGGTGAGCTCACCCACTGATACAAGGGGACTGATCTAATGAGAGCTCACCAAGGCCAGCTGGACTGGGACTGAACGAGCATGTGATCAAACTGGGTTCTCTGATTGTGGCTGACATGGGGACTGTCTGAGAAACCATTGATAATGGCACTGGGACTTGTTTCCTCTGCATGTACTGGCTTTTTGGGATCCTAGCCTGCTTGGATGCTCACCTTCCTAGACTTGGAGGGAGGGGGGAGGAACTTGAACTTCCGACAGGGCAGGAAACCCTGACTGCTCTTAGGACTGGAGAGGGAGGAGGAGAAGGAGTGGGGGGAGTGGGAGGGTATTGGGAGGAGGGGCAGAAGTGGAAACTTTTATAAATTAATAATAATAAAAAAATGAGGCCAGGGAGGATTTAGGCAACTCCACAGGGCATAGGTAGGGTAGTCTTTTATTTTCTCTGAGACCAATGTGGAATTTCTGTGATTTCAGGTTTCTATTTTTTTAATTTTATTTTTAATTTTATTTATTTAATTTTAATTTTAAATTAAATTAAATTTAATTTCATTTATTTAATTTTATTTTAATTTATTTTTAATTTTATTGAGCTCTACATTTTTCTCTGCTCCTCTCCCTGCCTCTCCCCTTCCCTTCAACCCTCTTCCAAAGTACCCATGCTCCCAATTTACTCAGGAGATCTTGTTTTATTCTATTTTCCATGTCCATTAAATCTATGTATGTTTCCCTTAGGGTTCTCATTGTTGTCTAGGTTCTCTAAGATTCTGATTTGTTGGCTGGCTTTCTTTGTTTTATGTTTAAAAGCCACTTATGAGTGAGTACATGTGATAATTGTCTCTCTGGGTCTGGGTTACTGCACTTAAAATTATGCTTTCCAGCTCCATCTATTTGCCTGCAAATTTCAAGATGTCATTTTTTTTCCTGCTCTGTAAATGGACCATATTTTCCTTATCCATTCTTCGGTCAAGGGGCATGTGGGTTGTTTCCAGGTTCTGGCTATGACAAACAATGCTACTATGAACATAGTTGAGCACACGTCCTTGTGGCACGATTGAGCATCCTTTGGATATATACCCAAAAGTGGTATTACTGGGTCTTGAGAAAGGTTGTTTCCTAATTTTCTGAGAAATCACCACACTGACATCCAAAGGGGTTGGACCAGCAATGCAGTAGTGTTCCTTTCACCCCACAACCTCTCCAGCATAAGTTGTCATCAGTGTTTTGGATCTTGGCCATTCTTACAGGTGAAAGATGGAATCTCAGAGTAATTTTGATTTGCATTTCTCTGATGACTAAGAATGTTGAGTATTTCCTTAAGTGTCTTTCAGCCATTATATATTTCTCTGTGAGAGTTCTCTGTTTAGGTCTGTACTCCATTTTCTTTATTATGTTATTTGTTCTTTTGATGACCAATTTCTTGAGTTCTTTGTACATTTTGGAGAACAGACCTCTGTCTGATGTGGGGTTGGTGAAGATCTTTTCTCATTCTGTAGGCTGTCGTATTGTCTTGTTGACCGTGTTCTTTGCTTTACAGAAGCTTTTCAGTTTCAGAAGGTCCCATTTACTAATTGTTTCTCTCAGTGTCTGTGCTACTGGGGTTGTATTTAGAAAGTGGTCTCCTGTGCCAATGATTTCAGGTTTATTGAATGACACTGGGCATGTCCAAATTAATCTAAATTTTATCAGCATTATACACATATAAAAATAATTTCTAATCAGCTTATTAAAAAGGAGAAACAAAAAATATTGACCCAAGTCTCAAATTCTGTGGCACTTATACCCTTTACTGTTTTTATTCATCATAAATAGACCTTAATATGTGACACAGCTCTTGGTATGTGATGCTGGGTGCAGGATGAAGCTCTTGAAGGACACCAGTGGTGTTAGAGACCTCTGCAGTTTCAAAGTCTCTCTTCTCTCTCCGTAGAGTGACAGTGTGCACTGTAATAGGGACATAATCTGGGAGGCACCATCACCAAAATGCTCCATCGAGATTTTCTCCAGCTGAACAGCTGAAGAATGTAGGTGTCCGACAATGGACCTTTGATATGAATAAGTCCTCCCTGGTAACAGACAGCTTCAGCGGGTACCTACAGGTCCTTTGCATACATATGTTGTCTTCCAGTTCAGTGTGTTTATGCATGTGTTCCAGCATGTGCAGATGAGTGTGTCTCTGATTCTTGTGTCTTCTCTTGAGCTCTTTTCCCTTTGTTTGTTTTTGTTCAATTCCAATGGGCTAATTTTCATTTTATTTTATTATTACTCCCCCCAGAATACTATTTATTTTCTAATGAAAAACAGAAAGGGGGTAGATTCAGATGGGAGGGTGGGGGAGCAATTGGAGAAGTGGAGGAAGGGGAAACCATAATCAGGATGTATTATGTGAGAAAAAGATCTACTTTTTAATGAAAGGAATAAAATGTATAAACAAACAAACAAACAAATAAGTAAATACTTCTTAGCATCCTATGAAGCCTTCTCCAAAATATTCTAGGCCACAAACCTAGCCTTATCAAATACGAAAAAAGGAATATAATCTTTAATTTCTAATCAGATCATAGAGCAATAAAACTAGAAACAAATTGTAAGAAAAACCACAGAAGCTGCACAAATACACAGAGACTAAACCATACACTCGAAAATAAGGGAAGAAATAAGTTGAAAATGTTTTAGCATCAAATAAAAATAAAAACACAATTTATGAGAACCCTCATGATACTACCAAGACAGTCCTAAGAGGAAAGTGTATAGCTATGCGTGCTTACCCAGCTGTGACCCCTGCAATCTGTAACAACGACCCAGGTCTGGCATGTGTGTGAGGACACACGTCATAATGCCCACATGGAATTCAATTTGTGGCAATTTGTTCTCTCCTTCCACCATATATATGTGTCTCAGGGATTGAACTCAGGTCATCAGGCTTAGTGGCAGGCACCCTTTCCCACCAAGCCTCTCACCAGCCCTTCGTAAGTATCTTCTGTATTATAAGAAATCACAAATCACTTGGAAAATCATGCATTTTAAATTAAATCAAAAGAAGATACTAAATGAGGTAGGGACTATTGCTTTTCAGCAATTCAATGGCTAAATCGTCAGAGAGTCAAGTAGAAACACCCAAAGCAGCAAGATGTGTACAGTTTACTACATCCACGGGATAAGGCGCAGGTGTTATCTAAGGAATGCCAAAAGGGAAAGAAATGTGTAAATGTTGCTGACTCATCTACAGTCTTGTGACTTTCGGCTGAATTCCAGTGCCATGTCTTTGAGGCGCGATGTTACATAGCCCATGCCAGCCAGGAGATGTGAAACACAAGTTAAAAATCATGTGTTACGACTGGAGCTCTTCTCACCTCTTTCTTTACTTCCTCTTCATCCTCCAGCGTCAACGCAGCCAGCTGCTTCGCTCTCTGCTCCATCAGATTGACATACCGGATTGGGTTTGACAGAGCTTCGATCACATCTAAGCAGGGAAGAGACATTCTAGGTCAAGGTTTTGGCAGGAGGAGGAGAAGTTACCCATCATCCATCTAAGGAACTATCCATGCTCGTAACCCACCATCCATTCATGTATTCATTCATCACCAACCTGGATCACTCACTGATGCAGCATCATTTAATCCTTCCCCCCCCCTACCTCTCCACTCAGATATGCCCCAGTTTGAAAATACACAAGGGTCAGGACTTTTCTAAAACTTCAGGAGAAATCAGAGTCACTTGGTTCAGAGAGACAAATGATATGCATTTCAAGTGACGATTCTCACAACTTGGTGCTCTCTCTAGCTTCCTTTTGAAGGGTTGGTCTATTCCAGCAATGGCCTCCATACCTATTTGGTTAAAAGTGTGTCATGAGTGGAGACACTTCACGTGAAGCCTGTCTTCTATTTATAGGAACAACCAATTTGGCAATTTGGGTCTCATCTGCATGGCAGTGGCAAGGCAGGGGGAATTACAGCCACCACCCTTGGGCTAGAAACATGTTTCCAAGTTTGTCAGTCTCCATCAATGGCCAGTGTCTCACTCCTAGAACCCTTGATAATAAAAAACAAAACAAGCAAAAAAAAATACAAAATAAAAACAACAACAAAACATTTGAAAATGTGACTTTGGGTGAAGTTAGTGCCTGTGAATTTGGGACTCCCATCTACAGACTTGATTGGAGATCTGTAACTTGCTGGAGGCAAATTCACTTTAGAAATAGATCAACGGCAGAAGTGGACAGCATGGGTTGCGGAATATTGGTCCCATAGGAATGGGGAGTATTGGTCCCACGGGGATAAAACTACCCTCGTGTAAATAGACTAAGCATTGGAATATTAGGATTTCTATCAAGAAATGTTTAACGTACACACAAAAGCTCAAACAATTGACTGCTAAGCATACACACAAAAGAAGTTGTGCTTATGAGGCCACAGTGTCCCACCCCTGGCCCAGTTAGCCTTCCACCAGGTGGCGTTGTTTACCTGCATATGTGTCTGGCACATAGTCTTTGACTTCTATGTAGACAAAGACAGCGGGCAGCATCAGGGGCTGGTTCCTCTCATTCCGCAGGGAGACATAGTGATAGCCTGCAGGGTGACAATGACACTGAGTGTCACCTGCTTGCTCTACAGTGCTAGCGACACCCATTCCCACCTGTGGTGCAGGAAAACCAGTCCTCTTCTTTCTCCTGTCAATCACACCGTTCTGAGTGATAAGGAAGTACTTTCCTCAACAGGCTGGAAAGCATCACTGATTCTGAATCATCATCATCATCATCATCATCATCATCATCATCATCACTTCTGCTCTAACCACATTTTTACCTGCAAATTGTGTATCCCAGTCTGAATTACTGGTCCAAATGTGCCCTCTACAATAAGTCATACTTAATGTGATTTCGTGACCGGGGATCTGCTTTGTCCACGGGACATTAGTGTTTTGGGACCAGCATTGTGTGAACAGGCACATGTAGAGATTTTTAAAATATACTTTTAACATACTAGTGGGTTCTCTAAAGGAGCCCTTAGGTTGGGTACCACCACAACTTCAGCCTGCACCCCAAAATGAATACATATGGGACAGAACCAAATCCAAATGGCATCCTGAAGCATAACTTTGCCACTGAGCTCAGGCTAACTCAGTCAATCCTTATGCTGTAGCTGATGGGTTTTTTCTCCCATGAGCACAGGCTGGTCCGACCAATCCTTATGCTATGACTGTTTTGCTTTGTCCCCCAGGTTCTTTCTCTTGTTGGAAGCTGAGTGATCATCCAGACTGAGTTTGGCCTTCCTAGTTCTCTAGTTTCCTATCTGGTGAGGTGATCCCCACCTCCCAATTCCTCTAAGAAGCCTCCACTATTAGGTCTTTACCAGAAGAAAACTGATAAAAATGATCTCATCTTGACCTTGCAGCCTCCAAAACTGTGAGCAAAATGAACTTCTTTGCTTTATAAAGCAGCCCAACTTGGGTATTTTCATTCTATCAATAAAAAAGACACTATTATACAGTGCTAACCCACAAGACTCATGACCAGGAACACAAATATTTGGAAGTGAGTTTTCAGACAGCTTGATATGTATAAGAATTGTGGCCAAAGTTGATTTTTGCAACACTACACTATGAAAAAAAATGAAAAACTACCAGATTTATTTGAATAATTTCAAAGTCTCTGTTATGCAGCAACATCACAAAGGAGCAATGCTGTGGAATATCAGTCTAAGATGTGCTACATTTGCTTATGCTGTGGAATGTTTGTTTAACGATGCAAAGATGTGTTATATTCCTTTATGTTGCACTTTCTTAACTCTATAAAGCTGTTCTACTCTATCTAAAACACCTGATGGTCTAATAAAGAGCTGAATGACCAATAACTAGGCAGGAGAGAGAAACAGGCAGGGCTGCCAGGCAGAGAGAATAAATAGGAGGGGAAATCTATGGAAGAGAGTGAGGAGTGAGAATAGGGAGGGGAGCAGGATGCTAGGGGCCAGCAACTCAGCCACACAGCCAGCCACAGAATAAAAAAGAAATAAAGATATCGAGAGTAAAGAAAGATAAAATTAAAAGTACAGAGCCAAAATGTAGTTAAAAAGAGACAGAATAATGTAAGTTAGAAAAGCTGGCTAGAAATAAGCCAAGTTAAGACTGGGAGTTGATAAGTAAGAATAAGTCTCCATGTATTTATTTGGGAACTGAGTAGCAGGCCCCCAAGGAGTAAAATAAAAAACAAACTACAGAGCAACAGATCCTAAGTCATTCTTTAATGACAAAGTCTCTCACCACATACCTGGCCGAATAGCCTGCACAGGCAAGATCCGGTGGCCAATAAATTTACCTCCTTCTTCATATGCTGCTATCCTCAAACAGGCCAGAGAAGGCAGAACTACCTATAGGAACATAAATGATGCTGGTTACAAGAGTAAGAAAATCACAGAAAGAACTAGAAAAATATTAGAGAACCTGATTCTGCCTTTCTAAAACCAGAAATCTACTCATCTAATTTAGGTAAAACGTTAAACTGCCTCTTTGTAAAGTAAGGAAAGCCATGAACAGCAACATTTGGGTGGTGTGGGAGGTCCTTCTGTCTATGTGTTGCTTTTATTGGTTAATGAATAAAGAACTGCTTTGAGCCTATAGCAGGACAGAACTTAGCTAGGCAGGGAAAACTAAGCTGAATGCTGGAAGAAAGAAGTGTGGAATCAGTGAGCTACCATGGAGTCACCGCCAGAGTCAGACATGCATGCCAAAACTTTGCTGGTAAGCCACTGCCTTGTGGCAATACACAAATTAATAAAGATGGGTTAAATTAAAAAGTAAGAGCCAGCCAATAAGAAGTTATAGCTAATAGGCCAAGCAGTGTTACAAATGATGTGATTTTCTGAGTGATTATTTCATGTCTGGGCAGCTGGGATGAACAAGTGACCCTTCACCCAACAATTTGGGTATACTACCATGCTTCAGAGACCATTCAAGCTAAAGGGTAATTTCTTTTTACATACACATAATCAATGAAGAAAGTTCTATGAACTCAGTTAGAGGGCTCACCATTGTGCATATAAGTTTTCAGATGAAGCTGCTTTGATATATTAAATCAAAACCTAAAATTAAGGGACTGGGGTATGGCTTGGAGGTTAAAAATACTGGTTGTTCTTGAAGAAGTTTCAGGTTTAGTTTCTTGAATACAAATGGTGCTCTAGATATAACTACAGTTCTAGGTGATCTACACTTCTCTTCAGTGGGCACCAGGAATGTAGTGGTGCATAGAGTTACATACAAGCTAGACATTCATATAAATAAATACAGATAAAATATTTAAAAAAGCAAAATTAAAGCTTCACAATAACCTTCAGAATACAACCACTTTATTTACTCACAGCTACTGTGGGACAATGGTCTTGTACCTTGTAAAGATTTGTCACTTGCATTAGTTTAATAAAATGCTAATTGGATAGCAGCCAGACAGGAAGTATAGGTGGGGCAACCAGAATAGGAGAATTCTGGGAAGAGGAAAGGCTCGGTCTGCAGTTGTCACTCAGACACAGAGGAAGCAAGATGAGAATGCCTCACTGCTAAAAGGTACCAAGCCATGTGGCTAACACAGACAAGAATTAAGGGTTAATTTAAGATGTAATATTTAGCTAAAACTATGCCTAAGTTATGAATCAAAAAGTGTTCTAATTAATATAGTTTCTGTGTTATTATTCGGGTCTGGGTGGCCAGGAAACAAAGAAATAGTCTCTGCCTACACACAATCAAATAATTGCTTGTTTTTCCTCTGTTTAAGACATCTAGAAAACACCTGCTTCTTACAGCAGACACTCACCTTTTTAAACACAATAGGTTCTTCCTCCCAGACAGGATTCACAGCATTTCCCTGGGATGTCTTGGTTTTAAAAGCCTTTCTCCTTGTGTCCACAGGCAAACCAAACATATCCACCTCCACGTAAGTCCCAACCTTCTTATCAGAAAGAAACTGGCCTGAAATAATCTAGAAAAGAGCAGAAAGTCTTGACAAACAAGTAACAAAGAATTAGGAGACAGCTCGAAGGAGGCCAGATGCAGCCTACAAGTGTGAAATCCTAAGCTAAATGAAATAAAAGCAAGGGTAGAGCCACCATTCCTCTCCCACTTAACAAGTAGACAAAGGAGACTGAGAATGGGGATTTGGGAGCCAATCAGATGGAGTCATATGGGAACAACTGATTAACAAGCATCCTTGGATGTCACGAAGTTATCATGACCTCTGACCTCACCCAGCTAGCCATCTATAGAATTGTGGGCCTCCTTCGTCTAGCTACAGAATTAATCAATGTCCCATAGCTATATGAGATTTAAGACTACACATTTGCATAACATCTCCTAAGGCTTCCTCTATCTATATTCGAGTTGCCAACATCTGAGGGACGCATCACCTGTCATAAAGGTTAATGAACACATTAACCCAGAACTAACTCAGAGAGCTTTCCAGGTTACTGGTTCCCCGACTATTCAGGATTTCTGACCACATCAGCAGAGTCTTTGGCATTCCTCAGCTCCTAATGCTTATGTTCCCGTAACCATTATGCCACTAGCCAAGTCACCACCTTGGAAACCCTGCCCCTGTCATGGGTAACCTCAGAAAGCCGCTGAGTAGCTGATGACTTTGTTCCAAACAATCCGGATTCCCAGGTTAGCTCCATCGCTCCCTGCTCCTGCTGCCCTTTCTGGAAGGACAGGCACATTCTATTTGCTTCCATTCACCACTATGGCAGGTGGTAGATCCGTTGGATGTTGGCAACTTGGTCCACACAGAGAGGAACATGTGAGAGATGTTTTCTGAATATGTAAGTCTTAAAATCTCATCCAATTACACAACATTGAATAATTCCATAGCTAGGCAAAGTAGGCTCACAATTGTACAGATGACTAGCTTGGCAAGAGCAAAGGCAAGGATAAGCTTGGTGGACACACATTTGGTATCAACTACTGTTTTTTAAACTTGGGTTCTACTTGCTAGCAGGCTTTGTACAACATATTTGAAACTTTCAAGTGACATGAATCCCATCAGGGATGCAGATACTCCAAAGTTTGGGTGCTTATGTTGTTTGGTCCTAATCAGGGTCCTAAAGTAGCCATAACCCGAAGTGTCAGGGTTCTTGTCAGTCAGATGGAATGGCAGATCACCATGTTATCTTGTAGGTCTTGGACGATGAAGTCTCTGCCAGAAGACCCACATAGAGCTATGACAGGACCAATGGGATCCAGATCCAGGCTTGGCAATGATGATAGAGGCAGGTGGGACTCTATTCAGTGGGCTGCATTTTGGATGGAAGCTAAAGGGTAAATTTTTGATGGGGCTCTCAAATATTTCCCCATCCATCCCATCTTTCCTGTATCTCTGTCATGGTTTTAGAACTGTTTCCATTGTCGGAATAGAATTTTTAAGACAAAATGAATAAACAAAAAGACACATAGGAATGAGGTGGAGCAAATAAGTCAAACAACTACCAGTTTGTCTCAGCTAGGACAAGTAACAGAAATGCTACAACACAGTCTTCCATCAATACATGCTGCTTGTGGTGTCTTAACCATTCTTGACAGGAATCAAACTTCATTTGCTGAAACCCATTTGTTACAAGAAATATATTTATGCAGTGTCATTTTTGCCTAGTTCACTCTATAATCAATGGTTTGAAATAACTTCAAAAGATAAAATTATAAAAGATTTCACTGAAATTTTGTTTTTGAGACTTTAACATAAAGTGGCTCACTCTGGGGAGAACCATGGGCTGACAAGCAATGCTGGATATGGAGGCAGAGGCCTGTCACCCCAGCATTAGGCTGAGTTGGGGGAACAGAAAATTCAAGGCCAGTCTGAGCTACACAGTGACGCTGTGTGAAAAAAACAAGGGCTTGGGAGGGAGATCAGTGGCAAAGCACTTGCTTAGTAGGTCCAAGGCCCTGGTGTTTCATCACTAGTGGCATAAAGCATGCGTATGGGGGCTGGTGGTGTTTGGGTTAGATATGAAACTCTCAAAGGGCTGTGTGACAAATGTTTCACTTGGTTTTGTTAAGGTCAGTCTGAAAAATGCATTTATGTTGAGTTTTGTTTGTTTCTTAGCCATACAATTATTCATGAAAACACGAATGGGGACTTTAAAAAGGAAATTTGGGGGTTTTATAACACTCTAGTTTCAACAGCGACACATTTCCAGAGTCCACAGGGGAAGCTCTTTATAAAAACAGAGCCCTCTCGTGGTATTAAAATACTTCTTGACAGCTAAAAATCTGTGGGCACCTCTATTTATAAAACCGAATAAAAGGACTTGGAATTCATTTTTAGGATAAAATGCATAGTTAATAAAGCAATCCTTTAGATTATTAAAATGGGTTTTACATCCCTGAATATTTGGGTAGATTAAAATATACGCTGTGGTAACATGGAAGCTTTTGTTCAGTATTTAATAGTTAGAATGGGTGGGAACTAGGGGAGGGGAGATGGGAAGGTCTCTGTATGGGTGACGGGCTTCCCTGTGCATTTTCTAATGCAATGTTTGCCTCCAAAGGGATGACTGGCCAACGGGAAGTCTCTGCTCATCTATTTCTTTAGCTCCATTTATTTTCATCCTAAGAATACGACTCAGCTCCTTTATTTCCTTGTAGTCTGGGGAAATCGCTAATGAGTATTTTATCCTTAAAAGTAAAAAAAAAAAAAAAAAAAAAAAAAGTATGAAGGATCCTTCCTAACTCCTAAGTTTTTGATGACAAAGGTATTTCTTTATGTAATATATATGATCTTTAAGTCTCTTCTCAGGGACAGGTTTGTGACTTCATATCCAGGGTAGGGGGTTGGGGGATGGGGATGGTAAGGGTGGGAGTGTACGTACCTTAACGGATAGAGTGTTGGCCACTATCCCATCTACGATTCCTTCAGTAAATGGATCAAAATGCTTGTCCGGCCTCCTCATGAACTCTGGCTTTAGCCTGTAGCCGCTCTTCCCATTGTACTCATACATGCCCATGTTTATCTGCATAGCTAGGTCTAATTAGAAAAGCAGCCCAGTGTGAGTGCATCTGTGTTTGGAGATTGCAGAGTAGGACTATATAAGATTACAGTCCACTTCCCCGACTGTTCACACCTTTACAGAGAAATAATTACACACCATAAAAATTTAGAGACAGACACAAATTTAAAGAAAAAAAAAAGATGAGTCGTAATCCCCGTGCCTGCAAGCTGGTTTATAGTGTTAACCTTTTTCATTTTAGATACATTTTTACAAATGTTACACCCATTTTAGCAAGTATTTTTTTGGCCTTAATTTTAACAACTGTCTAAAATTCCTTTGAATACATATATTTGAGTTGATGATTTTATCCAGTCTCTTCTTTAGATATATTTGTTTCTAGTAAATTTTTAGCATTTTACGTATGTCTTTCAGAGAACATCATAATTAAAGTTTTGAAAATTTAGCAGTGGGTTTTCTAGGAGCAAGGGGAATTATGGAGTCAAAAGGTAGGCGCATTAGAAAAGGCTGTTTTTGTTTTGGTAAGTCTTGTTAAAATGCCCTCCAGAAAGTTTAAACTCATTTACACTCATGCAAACCATTTTAGGGGATGTTTGGGGACTGATTTATACATAATCCATTTCAAGGGATGTTCTAATTATTTGTCTATCAATTTACAGAAAGGCATTTTAAATGTGCATTTCTGTGATTAATTACAGCCAATATGAATGGTTTACAGACTCTTTTCCAGAGGACTTGGGTTACTGATCAAAGTTTCCCCAGTCAGTACATTTACTGTAATTGCTAGGGTTAAAAAAAAAATGAAACAAAACACATTTTAGGGCCTAAGAGCTCAGTGGTGAAGTATTTACCTAGCAAGTGCCAAATCCAGGATCAAATAATAACTGTGGATTTGATTCACAGTATATATAGTGTGCATGTATACATATATGTATATAGTATATGTATATATATTTATATAATAAATAAAAAGTAGAAAGATTTTAAATCTCAAAAGCACCTAGGAAATAACTAGATGTTCCAAATCATCCATGAAGTGATATATTTGTACTATTAGGGCCAACAAAGAGGTAATAACAGGGTTGTTTCAGAGTTCTATGCAAGACGCTTTAGAGCAAGAGAAAAAAACAAAAATTTCTTTATTACTTTATCAAACTATTGTAATTACAACACTAAAATTGGACAAGGCAACTTAAAAGAAAACAATAGACCTCTCCTACTGGAAACAGTTAATATTGCTCAAGAAATTGCATTATTAAACAGAACTGATTTTAGGGCCAGGGAAATGGCTCGGCAGAGAAAAGTACTTGCCACAGAGCCCGACAATCTGAATTTGATTTCCAGGACTCACAAGGTAGGAGAGAGCTGTCTCATAAAAGTTGTACTTTGACCTTCATGTGGGTCACAAAGACAGGCTGAACACTGAACACACACACACACACATACACACACACACACACATACACACACACACACACACACACACACACACACACACACACTACCAAGCAAGGTGTGAACCTCTTAGTGGCAGCATTTCTGGAAGATTTCTTTTATTCCTGTTTTTTTTTTTGTGTGTGTGTGTATGGGTGCATCACACAGGTGTGTGTGCAGGTGCATCTTTATGTGTGAGTGTGTGTGTGTGTGAGTGTATGCATGTTTATGTGTCAGTGCACGTGTGACTATAAAGAACAACTACCACATGTACACGTGTGTGGAGGAGAGAGAACAACCCCAGGTGCTCCTTACGAACTGGTCACCTTGTGATTTTGAAACAGGGTCTTCCATTGGGACCCGAAAAGGACAGTCTAGATGCCAGCAAACCCAAGGGTCTCTGTCTCTGCCTCTCCAGAGCAGAAATGCCAAGCGCCTGTCAACACATCAAGCTTTATTATATGGCTCTAAAGTACCTCGGGTCCCTATGCTGCGAGGTAAGGGCTTTACCCACTGAGCATTCTCCCTAACCCAGGATTTCTTTTTTTCTTTATGCTTTCGAATTTCTAGTTTTTCTAATATGATTTTATAGCACTTTTAAAAATGCTTGAAAAAAACAGCATGACATCCAGATATAAAACCCCTTTCAAAAATTATTAAAGACATCTTAATTTTCAAAATTTAGTGCTCTTCCTTTGCTTTGATTATCCTTCATTGAAATTTAGTTATCCAATCAAATCTGCCCCACCCCTACTCCTAAGTTCCCAGGGTAATGGCTTCTGAACACTTGGAAATGTGACTTTGCAGCAATGGAAGGAAGCTGCTGTTACTCACCCACAGTCTGGAAATTGAGTGCCACCATCTGACAGCCAGCATTCCAGAAGAGCTGGGGCATGTAGTTGGAGGAGTCCACGCGTGTTCCTTTGGGATAGATCCTGCTAAGCTGCATCTTGTTGTATCTGGACCATCATGTTAAGTAGTGGATACAATTTCAAAATTATCAGTCTACTCTATTGGCTGCGAGGCTACTCTCTTACCTCTCACTGGGGGAACGGAGTAAATATTAATGATCACATTGCATTGGTAGGCAAAATAGGCACAGAATGAGTTAATAGAACAAACATGTTCTTAGAAACGAAGCATTACTATTGGGAAACTTATGGGTGCTCAATACTGGGACAGTAAGTGTGACTGAGTCAAAGTCTATGCAGTTAGGAAGCATTAACCACAGTTGTAAAGATGAAGGACACTGCAAGAAGCTGGACTATAAGTCACGGGGAGGATGGTATTGCGTGTGGGAGAAGCAGAAAGTATGAACCATAAAACTGTTTTTTAAATGCTCTGTCCTCATTTTCTTAACATTTGCTGGAAATGCTATTTGTCAAGACCACAGTAGTTTTTAAGATTAATAAGGAGAGTAAATATAGCACAGAAATTTCTGATCTTGTTTCAGATTTTCGTTCAGTTTCCATCCTAAGAATATTGCAGCCACTTAACACTGCTCTGTCTTTGTAACGTGGCAGACTGGCTCCTACCACCACTTAAGGCAGAGGTTAGTTAAGACCTAAGGCAGGCAAGACAGACTTGAGTTTGGAACTTGTTGACTATATGATCTTGGATAAGTTAATTCACCTTTTGTTCTCAGTTTCCTCATCAACACAATACAATTCCTCCATCATAGAATTCCTTTGAGAATTAAATAAGATAATTTATTTTAGAAAAAAATATCACAAAGTCAGTACTCAATACTGATGACAATGATTGTATAACATTACTTTAATTATAGAGTTCACATGTGTTCCCTCTTCTTTCATTGATAGTTCTCTCTCTCTCTCTCTCTCTCTCTCTCTCTCTCTCTCTCTCTCTCTCTGTGTGTGTGTGTGTGTGTGTGTGTGTGTGTGTGTGTGAATGTGTGTGTTTGAAAAATGCCATAGCTTAGGCTATGGATTTGGTGATCCTCCTGCCTCAGCCTTCTGAGTGCTGAAATTATATGCACGTACTTTCATGCTTACCCTCTATTGAGGAAGCTTTTGATTTGTGTGTGTGCTTGTGCATGTGTGTGTTGTGTGTGTGTGTGAATGTGCGCACGTGTGAATGTGTTTACAAGGTTATACCAGAGGCCAACCTTGGATGTTACCCGTAAGGAGTTATCTATATGTAATTATATCTATGTAATATAGCTATAATATGTAATTATAGGTATATTGCTCCATATCTAACTTTCTAAACATGTTGGTCCTGAACTCAAACTCAAGTCCTCATGCATGACTGAGCCATATTCTTAGTCCCACTGATGAGGTATAAAGGTGAATTTTATTCTAGAAATTGTTTCACAAAATTTAACTCTTTAGAATAGTAGCATTAACTTATGAAAAAATAACCTGAAGGCCTCTTTGATTTGTGATCCATGGGAAATAACATAAGACTAGAAATCACACTGACATACATGTACATTCATATCCTTTTGATTATTGTTCCCACTACTTTTTAATTGAACATATACCACGTGTGTGAGGTGCTAAGCCAGATTTATAAGCTATGTGCACATACCATTGATCTTTAGATTCATACACATCTATAAATCTGGAGAACACATGTCGACCAGTATATAAAGTACACACACTTGTGTTAAATACATTGTATCCATCAAACACCCAATCACAAAGCTACTAGCATTACTTCTGTTTGAAGATGAGGAAAATCAGAATTAAGCAAATTGCCAAGGAACTTAGAGGTTGATGGTTTGAGGCAGCCCTGCAGCCAGAGCCTCCACTAACCTAAAGTTAGTTCATTTCTCTATAGACCAGGCTACCCACATTGCACACTACAGTTGAGACTTGGGCTATAGACGGAAACCCATTCTGTGCATCTTTCTCCTTATTGAACACAAGTCCATGACTTCAGCTGGTGAGCTCAGCAGTCATTCATCAAATCAAGGATACTCTACAAATTCCACTGGAGACTTTGTAAGTTGCTCAAGTCCTTTGGTTTCCACGAAGGAAGACATTTCAAAGCTTTTATTTCTCTCTGAGTTCAACAACAACAAAAAGGGCAAGAAATAAAATTCAGTATTATAAATTATAATGTTATAAAAGAAATAAATGTTAAGCAAATTGGAGAATGACTGATTTAACTTCCAGTGTGCGTGCTCAGACTTCTATCCATGAACCAGATACCAGGAATAAAAGTCGAGCCTTGCAAGTTACCTCTGCATAGCTTGGGTGAGATATCCTCATGGCTCTGAAATTTTGGGCATGAATGAATTAAGTAACAGGTGTAGTATGACAAGGAACCTGGTTTTGTTCTAAATCCCTCCAGACTGACTTCCTGGGGGACCTGCAGATGTGGTGGGGATGTCGGTGCTGACATTGCTGGCTATTCAGGCCCACACAGTCAACCCTTAAAGTCACAGCTAATGTGGCATCAGAATTAGGATCTATTAAACGACAGTAATCCTGGGAGACATTCGAACTGCCAGTCTCATTTCCATATTAGATTACAACAGCCAAAGAGGTGAATGTGTTAAAGAACTCAATGTTCCTGAATATCGGAGCGTTAGGAAAACATGCTGAATGTGGAATTCAAGCCTCTAGAGGGGACAGGGGACAAAACAGAGTTAACTCGGACACTTTCACGTGTCTGACCTCAGACAATTTCCTGGTCTTCCCAGCTTTGCTCAGCGGCTACTCTCCACACTCAGATACGTGTTATACACAGCTGGCAAACAGCTCTGGGGTTGGAAAATCGGCGATCTTTGGGAAATTTTTTGCTCTTTGGCTCCCTTACTTTCAAAATGAGGCCCCTACTCTTTCTCCTCATCACCTAAGACTCAATCCATCTCCTACTTGCCTAGTTTGCTCTCGGGGAACCCCATTTCCTTTATTTTGGTTCATCATTAATTTACTTTCATGCAACTAATTATTTTAAGCACAGCTGTTAATTAAAACAAAGTCTTCACGATGGGCAAAATACAGCCAATGAGATCATGTCTGGCGTGATCACACGACATAATCACAAGGAGAACGTGTTCGAACGTCCACAGCATCATTGGGTCCCAGAGAATGTCTGCTTCCTACCCCTCCCCCTTCCAGCACCCCTGGGAGCTTTGCTATGGAGCCACAGAAAGTGAAGCCAAAGGGCAGGAAACCCCATGGTTTTAGGTTGCTTTACACTGAACAAGTTCACGTAATAAGAATCAGTAATTATGGCACCAGAAAATGCTGGACTCTTTATATATGAGCTGTGATGAAATGTAAATTCCTTATGTGCGTCAAGACACCAAGTGCCACTAAGTTAAGACTCAGGGCAGAAGGTCACAAATAGAAATGCTCAAGCCACATAGAAGCCTGAAGTTGGCTATATCTGCATTTTTTTCTTAACGAGGCTATTGCATTTAAGTAAAATTTCAGTGAAGCAACTAGGAAGCCCCAAGGATCCTCTTCTCTGATCTTAACTTGCACCTTATGTTAGGATAAGGGGCACTTCCTCAAAAGGGTTTTCTCCACCAGGTAACAGAAAGATGACTTTGTATTCACTATGGGTGTATAGTTGGGTGAGGAGAAAAGAAAAAGTGATGCTCCATGAGTGACAGTTTCCTCAGGACAGGAAATGAGCTGGAGCAACGGAACCTGGGTGGGTTGGTTCTGGTTTGTGTTACCAGGCTGGACAGATGCCCAGCACGGTCACTGTATGACTACAACCCACAGGGGTTGTAGCAAAACAAATGAAATGCGAAATTCTCCATCACTTGGACACGGTCTTGATATCTTTCAGGGAACCATTAAGTATGTGGAGGAGCATCACGAAATGGTTATCCTGTGGTTTTCGGATATATCAACTACAATATCGAAGTGTTAAAAGGAACTCTATTTCCGCAATGATGCCAAGACAGCACAATCCGTGGAAATATTCAAGATGTCCAGAATAGAACACTTCTTTCCAGTTCTGAGTGCCTCCTGGCTAGGCGACACTAGGGATTTCTCCTGCAGAAAAGCTTACTTTTTGAAATTTCAAAGGACTCAAACTTGACAGGTTGAATATAGTTCACGAGGTTAGACATCTCTTCTGTGGCCATGGCCTCGCTGCCGGCGGTTCCCTGGATGTAGGAAAAAAATATTTCCAGAGTCAGCATTATACTACCCAGGGCTAGCTTCTCAGGAAAATGGTCATATGCCACCAGGGAGCAGACAGTCCTTCTGTTCTGAAAAGAAAGAACAGCTGCAGGTTGGCCCACCGCAGGAGAGGAACGAAAGGCAGGCCGGGTCCTCGTCACAAATACTTGGCGGCACACGTGCTTAGAGTTTGGATATGGAGTATTTGTGTACACATAACGGATATTTTATGGATGAGTCCTAAGTCCAACAAAATAAATTCTCCTTTAAAACTCAAACACATGTTATACCCACAACCCATTCTTTCATTGCCGAGTACTAACACCAGCATACGACTTTAAACATGAAATAAAAATTTCACACTATGGAATTTTCCAGTGTGTGCTTTTCAGGTCAGCTTTCCAAAGTTTTGGGGGTTTGGATATTGTAGCTTCTATTTTTTCAGATTCTGTATGCTCGGTGTATGGCTATTTTATGAACGGGAGAGCTGGCGGGGTGGTCTGGAGCCATCAGCATCAGCACCATCCTTTGTATATGCAGGTCCTTAGCCTCCCCGCAGGCACTGGGGCCGAAAATCTGCATTCATGCAGTGATGCCCACAGGGGCTGTTGTTCTCTATTACAGAGAACACAGATGAAGTCTACAGTGAGTAAGTCAAGAACTCTCTTGACAGTAACAACAACTATCATGTAGGTAGACACCATATTAATGGAAAAAATAATTAACCAAAGGTTGCCTTACAGAAGTAACTGGGAGCTATGCAAACAATTTCTATTTTCCTTGATAAGCACTCCCCCCCCTAATGGGCTCCTGTGTGACCAACTTTGCCGTCTGGCAGCAGGCTAGCCGCTTAGGTCCCAGAGCGGGGCCATCTGACATTAAATCCAAAGGCCACGAGTCAGAAGCTATTCTGTTACTCATCTGCAAAATAAAAATAAGTTCTCAGCAGTACGGTTTTGTAATTATTAAAAACAACTTAAAAAGCCAGACGTGGTGGTGCACGCCTTTAATCCCAGCACTCAGGAGGCAGAGGCAGGCAAGTCTCTGAGTTCGAGGCCAGCCTGGTCTACAAAGTGAGTTCCAGGACAGCCAGGGCTACGCAGAGAAACCCTGCTTTAATAAATAAAGGATGTGAGCTTGGACAGCGCCTGGCAAATGGTAAGATTTTAGGTTATTTTAGATGTTATCTTCAATAACATATTCATTAATGCAAGTTTCAGTGAGGAAAATCCATATTATTACTTGCACAAGACAGGCCTCTCCAGACAGGTCCCACATTTTCCCATCTTTTATTTTAGAAGAGAAAACACACAGAGATGAGGATTCTTTGTGAAAATAGCAGCAGAAATCCTCCGGATAAATGTTAACTGGGAAACAGCCATTTGAAAACAGACAATTGCAAACGACCCAAGTGGACCCTGAAGCCACTCTCAAGCGCAAGCAGCATCCTCGTTATTACCGCAGCTTCCTTTTGGAAATCAAGATGAAATTTAGCAGGGACACAAGGAAGCACATTTCAAACTAAGCTGGACACCATGGCTCCTGTGTGCTTCCTCAGCTACACGGAGACAGACATGGGCTTGAGCCCAGGCGTTGGAGGCTATCCTAAGATACACAGTGGGGCTCATTTACAAGACAAACAAATAAAATATATACAAATTCAGACCACATCAAAGCATGTAACTATAAGGAAAAGAATGCCAAGGAAGAATAGCGTATTGATCTGTGTGTAGTGATACACACCCATGATCCCAGCAGTTTAGAGGCTGGGCGAGACAGGAGGATCTGATGCAAAACGGAAACACGGACTCCCTGTCGCATTCCGAACATTCCTACAAACCTGCGTTTTCTCTGCTCTTCAGATCACTCCACAAATCACGGAATTGCCTCAAAAAAAAAAACTGAAACTGGCGACCAAATGGCCTGTGCTTACTCTTTTTGCCACTAGATGGCAGAAGGGGATCATGAGAGACCCGTAAGATGGCTACCCAGGGACCAGTGCTCTAGACCGAACTCACCTCGTCCATTGAGGACTTTTTACAGTCATCATCGTCGTCGTCATCGTCACTCTCCGTATCCGCTTCCCCTGTCAAATTTTAATCACAGGCATGATTTCAGAACTCGAAAGTTTGAAGAATTTGCAGAAGCACGCTACCGACTAGGTCAGGGGTGCCCTGGAAAGTAGACATTCTGCTTCTTTTAAAGTTATTTCCCCATGCCCGCCCCTCACAAGGATTTATGTTTTCTTAGTAAGAGAGAATTAATCTGACATTTTGACAAATTCGATTTGGGATAACATTGAACATTTCAAGTTCAATTTAAAAAATGCGCATTTTATAATCTCCTCTTTCATTTGTTTTTTTTT